GTTATTCCGGCTAAACGATATATATATATATATATATATATATATAACATTCTTAAACTGCACTGAAACAAGGCAATTATGAAACATACCGGATGAGGGATTGAAACACATTTGCATAATACGGTAGAGAGTTTCGTTTTCTAACTCCTGCACCATCGCTTCCACGTCTGCCTCACCGGTTTGTACGACATTCCTCTAAAAACATAACGTGACTGTGCGTATAACTACTAACATCCATTAATTCTCATAAACATTAAGAATAATCAACCTTTACGCCGTTTATTTCAATCCCTGAAAGAACGTCACTAACATCTACATTCAGAAGTTTATTTCAGTTCCGTAGGCTATAAAATTTCATTTCTTTAATTTATAACCTTTTTCATGGGGTTATTTTTAGAATGTTGACTTCTAACTAGTCAGTCCATTAGTTCAGAAATTCGATTAGTAAGCGCAAAGCTGAAACATTTGATTCGGTAACGAAACATAACATTGAGCCAACCTAGCATCTGATGACAGACAATGTCTCGCTTTTCTCTGAAACTTGTCTCCTAAGTAAACTGGTATCATATGAATCGCATTCTCGGTCTTTAAACAACCTAATGAACCTGACGATGGCCGTTGTCGAGTACGTTCAATCACTCCAAAGTATATGAATGACACAGAGCTGAAGAATGGCAGTGACACTGCTTTAAATGTGAAGAGAGCAAAACTTTAAACGTTCACACTCGCTTGAGTCACAACGGGTGAATAGTTGAGGCGTAATAATGGCAATGCAAAATCAATATCTTCAGTTGGAATGCCTAACCAGCATAAAGAAATACATATACATACAGTTGGTGTTAATTTATCACTCAACATCGTTTCTATCATGTACGCGCAGTCTCCGGTGCATAGTTTCTCGATAAACTGATGCGGAAACTCGCTCCAAACCGTTTACGGGGCTCGTTTAATCATGCAACACGCTATGGATCCATGCCGTTTGAGAAATAAATGTATTTCGCATTATTCTGATTACCAGAGCAACCATATAATGCGAGGAACTTTTAGCACCGTAGGTATTCAGACACAATGAAACTTTGACCGGCCAAATTGGAGCCGGATGGCACTAAAGGAAAGGGATCTGTACAATACACCATGTAATCTGACCTGTGGAGTAATGCGTCAATTAAGATAGACAACCGTACGAATCCATTATTAAACGCCTATGCGATAACATATAAGCAGTACAAGTTGCTCAAACATTGCTTATGATGAGTACGAACCAACATTCACCAACCGCTAGACCAGTGTGGCGAGTTATAGTCAAATCCTACATGACAACTGTTTGACGGTAAAATCAGGAGGCTTTCACAGAGCAGGGAACCGAAAAGGTTTACGGAAATAATATTTCAACAGTAAATTTTAGTACGAAACATTATTTTTAGTCACATTTATGAAACATCCCAAAATATAACAAGAAACTAGAAAACTTACAGGATACTATAGAAATCCTTTCATTATCGGTCCCATTATTCAATGGTAATGATGGAGAATGAAAACACCTC